TTTCTAGCATGGCAGAGTGGATTAGCTGTTTTAGAATCACTATGGAATACTTGGTCAGAGAAGCCCTTTGGGTCCAGCAATTACATTGAAACAATCTGAAATTCTAGAGGGGTTTGGAAGCCTGAGATTGACTGTATCACCATATTTCAGTGTAGGTGGGAAACTGAAACTCAAACAATTCCAAGTTTCAACTTCAAACCCCCCTCTCCTGTTCTCCTGGCTCCAGGGAAAAGCCCAAATTCAAAGAGGCTTTTTTTCCAGACCTGCCCCTTATGAATGACAAGGCTCGCCAGACTGGCCTCTTTTTTTAAGTCAAGGTGTTTTTTTCTGCTTCTTCATTCACTTTTGATATTTCAGAGTCAATCCACTTAACTTCCTTGCATCTGCTCTCAGCTCAACAAACTTTCCTGCCCTTTCTGCTTCCTTTGCCCTATTTTTAGGGCTGTGGGTCTCACCCAGGGCATGGCTACTTTCAAGGAGCTAATCCATTCTCACAAACCTCAGTGTTGTAGGAGATGAATGTGTTAGGCCTTGACACACAGCACAATAATATAATTCTTCCAATGAGAAACTCTTCCAGCCTATAAATCCCACTGATTACTAATTTCTTGCAAAGTAGTTCTTAATAGAAGTGGAAGGTGCTGATGAACAAGAGAATGAGAACTGGTAGTATCCAGACTATTTATCCAGACTGCATCCAGAAATGAAGCATCAGAAAAAAAAATTAATAACCAGTGCAATGGATAGAGGGAGAGTTACTTTGGTTGTGGGTGGTTATGGGATTTCACATTTTCATGCACATAAATATTGTGCAACAATTTCATGCACAAGCACAAACAGGTATAAATCCATTTGCAGTAAAGATGCACATTTTTGGGCAGGCAAAAGTAAAAAAAAAAAGTAATATCTATTGGATAACTCAGTTTCTGTGAAGGGAATATGTCCTAAACATAATTTAATTTGCACTAGTGAATTAAACTCAGTTGGCTACACTAAGAAACCATTGCTGGCTGACAGTTTGTCATCACCTCTGCCTTTTTTGTTTTCTCCAAAGACAGGAAGTCTCTACCTGATTTCTGGCTGAGTGGTTCTGCAGAGCAGAGATTTTTGGATGGTAGAGCAACGGAGCTGTCAGCACCTGGCTGAAATGAAGGAARTGTAGAAAAGCAGTGTCAGGTACAGGATGGGGTGTGCAGGGGGGAAAAGACTCCAGAGCATCCTCAGGTGCACAGGTCAAGGACGCCTCTGTCTCTCTGCCTCTGCCTTTTGCAATTCAGAGCRCAGCACAGTTTAATTTGCAGGTGCTGGGACGTGCTAAACAGCCTGAAAACCTCTGTATTTTGGGTGGGTGATGTAGTTGGACGTTTTTGGAAGGGCTTCTGCACACACTTGGTGCTTCAACCCTACTGTACAGTGTGAAGATGTTTTGGGAATGGCGATTTGGGTCTGCCTCAGCTGTGGATGCAAAGAGCTGCCTCTGGAGACAGATGTGAGAATGCAGCTCTGTGAGCTGAAGGCATTAAATGCACCCAGGTATTTAACTGAGTGCACTCAGGAGCTGCTGAGTGARAAGTCAAAGATACCCAAACTCATTCCCAGGCAAAACACGGTGGAAGAAACCTTTGCTTCCCACAGAGCCATCCCAGGTCCTCTTATCCCACCACGGGGATGTGTGAATTCCAGCTGTGGCAACAGCTGCAGGAGTTTGTAAAACAACCCCTGAGAACTGTAAAATCAGCTGCAATCAAGGGTTTGTTTCCTGTTTGAACTTCTTCCATCTCCCAAATTAAAACTGATGTAGAGGAAAAGAGACTAAGGGGACAGCCAGATCTCTCTCTCAGAGGGATGGTTTTTCTGTAAATGTGTAAATGTGATCCACAAAAAAACCCAAATCCTTCTGCCGTGCTGGGTGATGTGTTTGTCACTGCAGGCTGGAGATGCCTGGCATTGTCAGAGCGTAGAGCAACTCCCTGGATCAGCATCTGGATATTTTAGGGACTTACCCTCTTTGGAGATTTTAGCCTTTTGGGTTTTTCAGTTTGTAGGGTGGCCCTGTGCTGCTGCAGTGCTCCTCCAGAGCACAGATGCTTTCCTGGAATTTTCTGGTACCTGCTGGAATGCTGACACCACCCTCTATTATGATCTGTACCACTCTTGCTGTCTGCTCTTGACCCCACTGGTACATGAGGAGGTTGTGGACTCTCAAAAATGATCAGATGATGAAAACCAATTGTAGACTTTTTCTATCAGGAAAAATTTCAAAAATGGAAATGGTGTCAAACACTGAGAATCTGCCCAAGGCAGTGATGGAACCCCYATCCCTGGAAGGATTTAAAAGCCATGTGGATGTGGCACTTSGGGACGTGGGTCAGTGGCAAGTTTAGMAGTGCTGGGAGAATGGTTGGACTTGAGGATCTTAGAGGGCTTTTCCAGTCTAAAAAAAACCAGTGATTCTATGAATCAGGAGGGAAACTTCCTGCCCCAGCAGCTGGAAGGGCAGGTGGCAGCATGGCTCTGACCTCTTCTACAAACAACATCCACTGGGAAAGCAAATCCCTTCTCTCCACATCCCCTCTGTGTAGCTTTGCTGATTATTCATGAGCAGTCATTGACAGGTAAATCATCCTGGAGCCACCAATACCCAAACCAGGRCAGCTGAAGGACTCGCCCCAGATGTTCCTCTGTGAGTTCTGTGATTGATCTTATCGACACCTGTGACTAAGGGAGAAGAGTTGTGAACCTCCTCTCAAAGAGCAAAGTTGTGGGATTTTTTTTCTTTTAAGGGGTATGAAACAATATCAGAGTAAGAAAAATTGTATTTGGAGCAATAAAGTAAGCATTTTTCTTAGAACAACATAGTGTACATATTTTTTTCTTCCCCTGGGCACCACTTACAACAGAATTGTCTTTGTTCACTGGGAAGCTCTTTTGCAATTCCTCCACTTTGCTTAGTCTGGTCTGTTTTTTATTTTTTGAATGTGAAATTTTACCAAGTTAGATTTTTTTCATGTTCTATGGCTAGGCCAGGTGTTAGTTTGTACAGGAACATTTATTTAATGTTATTTAAGGTGGAGGTGAGCTCGRGGAGTGACTGCTGTGACTATAGAAGAATTTTTTTTTTTTTTTTGTCTTTAATGGGCATATTTGTTTTATGTTAGATCTCTGGGAGCTGTCTCAAAATTATTAGTCCCACTGAAAACTGTACATTTTATTTCTCTTAATGAAAATTTTTATAGAACTCTGTAGGTATCAGGCTGCTGGGCTGCCACTGATAGCTTCAGTTAGTGCTTTTATTGTCTGCTGCTCCCTTGCAGGAGACACTTGATTTGTCATGTCTGTTTTCAAGAATTATTAGTACTGGCTACAGTTAGTCAAATCTTTTGATTAGCTAGAGACTTAAAAAAGCTGTTTATACTCTATTCTTTATGGAAGGCTTCARCTCTAGAAATTGCTTTGCTAATTGATTTCAGGATGGATTTTCTTGTGGCTGAGGAATTAATGCCTGCAGTGGCACTTACATGACAAATCCTTTCCAATAGCCATATTGTGCGTGGGCTTCACTCTTATTTTTAGGAAAACAAATAATATGTTGRGCATAACTAACTGCAGTTGAAGCTTTTCCCCACATATATGGTTATAGCATTATATTGCAGCATTTTTTTGCAGYAGCTTTGCATGGCCACTRTTTAAATATTTCTCTGATGCTGGCCTGTGCATGATCTAAATTAAACTTGTGCATTAATAGGTTCTACTAGTTTCTGTGTGGTTCATATTTCATTGACTGCAGTGGAGGGAAGGTCTTCAGGCAGTTTTGTGTTACCTCTGGTGTTTTTTCTGCCTTTCTTTGTCTCTCTACAGCAGCAGCAGCAGCAGGGGGATGTCCCTCATCTTGCAGTTTTAGTGACCATGGGAGGCTGTTTTGCTGCTAGAATTGTTTGCTGGCATCGTGGCTCTGCTCATCTTGGCAGAGAGGGGAAGAAGCAGGACCTAAATTTTACCAGAGTTCCTGGAATGGCCTCACCTGTTTAAAAAAAAAAGGGATCTGAACATAAACAACACAGTGTTTTCATCTCCCAGGGTGAATTCAATTGTGGTTGTTGCTTCTAGGGGACATTTAGAGGCACTGGCAGATGCTGGTGTGTGGGTTATTTTGGTGATAAAGGCAAAAATAGTCCCATGARCAGCTTCCAGTCTCACCTTTTGGGRTTTGGAGCTGGGATCCCACYTGCTCAAAAAGGCTCACAGAGRTCTGAAAAMCWGCCCTGCATCACAAGGCAGAGAGGACAGAGTCTGATCTGGATGTTTGTGTTTGCACAGTGTCTTTGGATTTTAAATCTTCACATCCTCTGGATCTGTAATGTTTTAAACGGACCAGGTAAAACTATTTTAGAGTGAGGCAGCATTTCTGCCAGGCTTCCTTCACAGAGGTTTTGGAAAAGGATCCTGAGAAAATCTTCTTTAGGGCAGTTGGCATTCCACTGTTGTAAGGATTTGGAGGAGGCACGAAGTGGCAATGGGAACCTTTGACTTGTTAATCTCTCATGGCTTAATGGAAAGGATCTGCACCTCTGGGAAAGGGATGGAAAGAGCTGCCACCAGCAGTAGATGTTTTTCCYATTCTATACCTGAAGTTTTYGTGTTCCCACTGGATGTGTGTAGGRATTCAGACTTGCTACCCTCAATCAGCAGAGARAGAGAGAGATATTCTATTTTGTAAGACAGAAAATTATTCAAGAAAAAGGAGAATGTTTGATCATTGCCAGCTAGTCGCTCCTCTAGTCTGATTAAAGCATATAAATTCATTGCTTTGGCACTTAATGAGGAGCCAGGAGATGGCACCAAAAGTGCTACAGGATGTGCTCTGTAAGAATATTTACCTGAGTGTGTTGTAGCTGTTAAGAGGTATTAAAAGGGTTAGACATTGATGGCACACAAGAAAGGAAGAGAACAGTCTATTTATTTCACTTTCAAATATACATGTTCTTAATTTGAAGTGCAGCTCTTGACTTGCTTCTTACATTATTTATTATTATTAGACACCAATGCCTTCTCAGCATATTTATTTTGTTAAATTACACCTCTGAAATTAAATGCAGCCTCTTGTCAGCTTTAATGTTCTTCTGCCTATTCTTGTAATTATTATTGATAAGAGGTGACTTTCAAGTTAACAGCCAGTGGATTGATAAGGCAGCTGTTATTTCGTTACCTGAGTGCTTTTTGGAAAGCTTAGCTCAAGGGCAAAACCGTGGAATGCTGAATCCCCATCCTGCATACTGCTGGCAAAAATTGGTGCTTGTGGCTGTGCTGTGCCCGGGTGACATTTGAGAAGCTGTCCCCAAAATGCACAGCTGTGCCTTCCCAAAATCAGCGGGCGTGGCGGCTCTTTGGGGTGCACAGAGGGGTGCCCCCGCTGCTTCTCGAGCTRTCCGAGGCTTTCTGCTCCTTTCTCTTCTGCTCCTCCCTCCTGCCCTCCGAGGCYCTTCTCTTCATGCGCAGGTAGTAGAGCCGGTTGGCTTCGGGGTGGGTGGCTTTGCACAGGGGCATCCTGTAGATGGCCGGGTTTTCCGAATTGATGAGGAGGAAGAGGAGCGCCGACAGGCAGAAGGGCCAGGTGCAGACGGGCAGCCCGAGCTGGCAGGGACACAACACACAGGGCAGCACTTTGGGACAGAGTTTTGGAACCTTTGCTTATGTCTGTCTGAGGGTAAATTGGTGCATTTGGGGAGCTGGAAAGCGTGGGCTGCCAAATTCGGATGGAATTGAACACACTGAGGTCTCKGYCCAGCAATGGACACCTCAGTCCCTSGTGGTGCTGARTGGCACCAGCTTTGAACCAACTCACTGTATCACACCCCAGAGCTCTGATGAAAAGCATTTTCACTGCAGTGAAAGCCAAGAAACCCAGCTCACCCACAGGCACTTGAATTCTCTAATGAAAGAGCCAAATTCTGCCCTCTCTGCTCTGTAAAATGTCGTGTATTGAGAGTATTGTTCACACATATTCACTCTCTCTGATGACTCTGTGACACCAGCATCACACCCAACCCTCAGCCCTGTCTCCTCAGCTCTTGACCTGAATTTAGGAGCCTATTCCCTGCCAAAAACAAGATAATGAGGRTAAAAAGTGGATGTCCTTTCTCCTGATGCCTCCCACAACCAGGTGTGCTTAAAGTAGCTCATGTGCAGCGAGCCACACCTGAGGCTGAGTGGATGCCAGATGAAAATATTTAGTGCAGGAAGCTGCTAGTTCTAATATTTTTTTTCTAAGTTAGTAAATCAATTTAATTGAAATATGGGTTTGCTTTAATCTCTCAGATCTTGAAGAAGAAACAAAGCCTGSCATTTCTGTCTTCACTCCTCTCTTGATTTGTCCAACTATAAGAACTTTGTACTTAAGAGAACAGTCTCTCCCTCATTTCAGTATTCATACCCAGCTCAAATTTTAATAATATCTGGGCAGGCTTGGAGGAAGACTTTGAAAGGAGAAAATGAAAATTTAGATCATTTGGAATTGCTGAAAKATAATGTTCAGCTATGTATTTAATCTCAAACCATATGCTGTTGCTGTAACTCACATATACCTGCACAACCCTGTAGTGGATAACACACTCTACAGGTCTTTGAAATCTTATTATCAGGTATAAAATCTTCAGGGGCACAATTCAACTCTTGTACACAGAGTTTGTACAAGGCCTGCCAACTGGCTGCAGCATTCCCATTTYAGGGCTATCAAAGCTAAAATGGAGAATTTTGAGGTATTTCCTTAGCGTTATATTGGAAAAAATCAGAGTTAAAAAGAATAAATGAAAAAATCCGAGTAAAACACAAAATCCCACACTTACCACAGAGAGGGCATTAGCAAGAGCTGCTCCSGAGTAGGCACAAAATAATGCTGAGAAGAGAAGACCAAAGAGAACACAGGATGAGGAAAACACTGTTCAATTCTCCAAAGAAAATATAAAAAAAAAATAGCAACGTTGTCCAAATGCACAGCTAAATATCCTCCCACCTACCTGGTGTGAGGATCGCTGCTAGAATTCAGCAATTAGTTGAAATGTCCCAAGAGAAAATGTTCCCAAGTTTCACCAGAGGATGTTTAGATTGAATATTAGGGAAAAATTTTATCACAGTAAGGGTTTTCAAGCCCGGAGCAGGGGTGGAGTCCCCATCCCTGGAGGGGTTTAAAAGCCCTGTGGATGTGGCACTTGGGGACATGGGTCAGTGGTGGCCTGGGCAGTGCTGGGGGAATGGTTGGACTTGATGATTTTAGCGGTATTTTCTGACTCAAATGATTCTGTGAGTACATTTCATCCCATCTGCTCTGCAGAAATGGATGGTGAATCACAAACATGAGTTTGTTGAGAGCAAGTTTTGGTGGCATTTCTTTAAATTCTTTATATTTGGCACGAGCTGACCTACATGCAGTGGGAACTGCAGAAATTCTCTGTCCTGTGGCTTCACACCACAGATAGTGATCAGGGGGACACCAGGGATGGCAGGAGACAAGGTCAGGAGGCAAGGTCAGGCACCCAGGGACTAAGTCAAGGAAGGAAAAGCTACTGAAGAACTCAGAAACTGTGCTCAGGACAGAAGACAACCAAGACTGGAGCCCAGGTAAATCTTCACAGGAGTGTCTTAAATGGGAAATTAATTTTCTTAAACTCCTCCCATTGTGCCTGGTTTTGGCTGCTGTTGGAGGTGAGGTTTTTGGGCAGATGGATTTCGAACTGACCTGGTGCAACAGCTCCCTTCTCCTGACACACATCCTCTAGTGAGACACTTAATTATAAAAAGGCTGCTCCTGTGGATTTGTTGAGTTGCTAATTAGTTAATCATGCTCGTGGAAGAGCCTGTACTCCTTTCACACACATTATTTCCACCCTTTCTAGATGTCTCCTTTTTCTCAGTGTCTAACACTCTTCCCTCTGTACCCACTGGCACATTCAAGAGCAGCGCTGATGCCGTCAGAGAAACAATTGCACAGCACCCGCTTTTGGGAACAGAGTGATGGGTCTCTAAACCTCTAAGCTGTCCCTTTTTGTGAAAGGTACTCACCACAGGCAAGGGACAGCAGATGTGTCTGCCAGGTGAGGGCATAGAAGGTGCCCCCGACGGCGATGCAGGCCAGGGCGCAGTTGTARTTGTGCAAGCCCAGGTAGATGCTGTCGAACGGGGACGCGATGCTCAGAGCTGAGGGACAAAGGGGACAGCTGTGAGCTCGGGGTGACAGGGACCTGAGGGAGGGCTCTGTCATCTCCTCCTCATAGCACTGAGGTGGATTTGTCTGTGCTCTCAYGGGCAGATAAAGGAGGAGGTCAAAGGAGAATTGTTATTTTGGAGTTCTGATAATGGCCCTGCAGTGGAATTTGGCTCGGTCTCAAAGGCTTCGCTCAGACAAAGCTTTCTGTGTATCCACTGTGTCTCCATGCACAGGTGGAGCATCCAGACAGCCTGTGGCAGGTCCTTCTCACCTGGGTGTCCTCTTTGCAGGAAGCTTTGCCCATTCACTGTTCAAACCTCACACAYACCCTGATTTCGAACATCAGTGTGTCTTTTGTGGGGTGAGCAGAGCTGCTCATCTCCTCCTTGTGGCCTTTGTGAGATACAGTCCAATTTCCAGAGGTGTCACTTCATATGTGCCATGGAAATTCCCCACAGGAATAGGAGCTGAGGGTCTGCCCCAAATCTGACCGCTCAGAAACTTCTGCAGGATTTCTCATGGGTTTCAGGAGCACCAGTAGTGCACATGGACCTTCCTGACATTTATAATGTTGATGCATTTCTTGYTGCATTGCCCTCATCTCTCTCTGTTTTATCATCATGCTTGTCCCCAGAAACTTTCCCCTTACCTTTCCTTTCTAGATTAAATGTCAAACCTCTACAAGGCCTGCCACATGCCCTCAGCCATATAAATTTTGTTTAAAAACAAGAATATAAGCTCACATCTTGAGCAAAGTGCTTCAGAGTACAGAGAACTCTTTGTTGGATCACTGCCTTTTCCAAGGTTGTTGTTTCAGACTCCATTAATTCCATCATTTGCTGTTATTGAAATTGGTCACCTAAGTGGCATTAGTGTTGTCTGACCTCTCGGGTCAGGCTCATGTCTCTCAATATTGTTTCTSTCTGGTTAGTGGGGAGACAGGACATTTTTAGCAATGTTCATTTAGGTATTTTGACAAATCCCCAGCAGCTCTGAGCAGGCTGCATCCCAGAAAAGTCTGTTTCTGTTCTTTGGCTGATTAGTTCTGTGGCAGACCTTTGCTTGYGGTGGTAATTTAAAACAATTGTGGTGGCAAGAGATCAGTTCTGGAACTCTTTCTCCAGATTTCCTTATGATCTCTGTGGGATTCATCACACCCAGTGACTGGAGGGTTATGAAAGGTGGGAAAAAMCACTTGCCTGAGTCACAAATCTAATAATAAATGCAAAGCTTAAAGAACACCTGCTTCTGTTCTTGCCTTCACTGTGTTGTGTGACCTTTASCAACAGCTTTCAAATTCCGAGAAGGTTTGAAAAATGAGCGTGTCGTCCCCACTATCTCCAAGCTGACACAACTCTAAAGTCTGGACAGAATCTGGCTTGGACCAAGACCCCTTGGCTGCAGAAATGATTTGGTGAGTGTTTCTTACCTGCAAACATCCCCACGGCTGATCCGATTGCAGCGTGTAAAGAAATGAGCGGGGAGGAGATGAGCAGGGCCAGCAGGAAAATGCCTCCAGTCCAGGGGTTCCCACAGCCGTACACTTGGCCAACACCAACGGGGATGGACTGTAGGAGCTGCACAGATGGCACAAGAGGCACCTTACTGAGTGTCTGTGCCCTGAGGGACACAGCAGAGGCTCTGTCTGAGCTGTTGGCTGAAGAGGGAAGGAGGAACCCTGGCTCTGGACTGGGCTCTGAGCACCTCAGAATTCCAGAGTGGTTTGGATTGGAAGGRACCTTGGAGAYCATCCCATTCCACCGCCATAGGCAGGGACACCTCCCACTGTCCCAGGCTGCTCCMAGCCCCAATGTCCAGCCTGGCCTTGGACACTGCCAGGGATCCAGGGGCAGCCACAGCTGAGAAATCWGTGCCAYTGCCTMACCCCCTGCACAGGAAAGAGTTTKCTTGCTAATATCTAACCTAAACCTACTCTCTTTCAAATTGGAGCCATTTCTCCTTGGGGGGGAATGGCTTCAATTGTCCCTTCAGGCTTTTGCAAATAGCTTCACTCCATCTTTCTTATAGGTATTGGAAGGCCTTAATTAGGTCATCCMAAAGCCTTTTCTGTTTCCTGGYCGAATAAACCCACTTCTCTCAGCCTTTACTTGTGCAAGACAGACTTCATCTCTCCGATCTCCTGGTGCCTCCTCTGGCCTGGCTGCAGCAGCTCCAGGTCCCTGTGCTGTTGTTGCCCAGGGCTGGGGCAGCTCTGCAGGTGGGGTCTCACCTGAGCGGGGCAGAGGGGCACAATCCCCCCCTCCCCTGCTGCCCACGCTGGGGCTCAGCCCAGGGCTCGGGGGGTTCAGGGCTGGGGCAGGTTCTGCTCTCACCCCCAGCACCTTCTCCCTTCTCCCAGGGCTGCTCCATCGGCTCATCCCAGCCTGGGCTGATCCCAGGGGCTGCTCCAGCACTTGGCTTTTTTAAACCCCATGAGGTTCCCTTGGGCCACTTCTTGAGCCTGTCCAGTTCCCTTTGGATCCCATCCCATGCCATTCCATCCCATTCCCATTCCCATGCCATGCCATGCCATGCCATGCCATGCCATGCCATGCCATGCCATGCCATCCCATCCCATCCCATCCCATCCCATCCCATCCCATCCCAAATCCCATCCCATCCCAAATCCCATCCCAAATCCCATCCCATCCCATCCCATCTCATTCCATTCCCATCCCATCCCCAGCTGTGTTTTCTGCCCCTCTCATTTTGGGGTCATCTCAATTTCTCTGAGGGTGCCCTTGATCCCTCTGTTTGTGTCATTAATGAAGATATTCAAGAACACTGGTGTCCCTAAGACCTCTGAGGGACACCATCTATCCCTGATGTCCCCTGGGGCTCTGAGCCATTGACCACCATCCTTGTGCTCCTTTGGGAAGGTGACCCTCCAGAGTCCAATCTGCACCTGAGGGGCCTGGATATAAACTAGTTTCTGTCCCTTTGAAATCCTGATGTTTCATCTGAATTATCGCACTGCCACTGACTGTGTTGCTGATGTTTTTTTAACCAATCTGGGCAGCAGGAGGGCACATCCAGATGTGTGCTGGGTGGTATTCTAGATTTGTTTTGGGACAGCCCAGGTTTAAGTGAAGYGAGAAGCTCAGGATCTCTGTTCCCAGCGTTTCTGCTGCATCAGCCACGACTGCCCCTGAAGATTTTGTGTCTGTGCTCTCTGCACTGACCCAGATCATGCAATTCTATCAATTGCTCCTCACTCATCCTGACCCCCRTGAAAGGGTCACCCAGAGATGAGCACCTTCCTGCTCAGCTGTTGAGGGGAACACCACGACCCCGCTCACCAGGGGCACGTTGATGGCAGACCAGGTGATGTTGGGCACTGCAGCCACGGGCTTGATGAGGGTTGTGGGGAAGAAGGGGTTGTAGTGTCCTGTGGCCGCCAGGTACAGGGTCACCGCGATGTTGAAGGGCAGGGTGAGGACAGGAAGGTCCCATTTGCTGAAGATGGACCCCAAAGCGCTGGACAAAACTGGGCTGAGGAGAGGAGAAGAAGAAATACAAATAAAACTTGTTCATCATGGTTGATGGTGGTGAAACAGCCTGCCTCCTCGGTCATAAAACTGTGATTTGGGTAAATGAAAGCCAATACAAATAGAAACATCAGATGATGTATTTTAACCTGCATCAAACAAAGAGWTGTAGAAAGCCACTCATATTTCTGAAATAAATACTCTCACATCCATGCATGCATACAAGGCATGGACAGAAACAGGCAATCTGACTTCCTGCTCAGTTGAAAACTTGAACAAGAAAGAGAAAAGGATATTTTGGGAATGTGACATGAAGAACTATGGAGAACTTAAAAATTATCTAAAAAAAATGCTGTCTTGAGGAGGCAAGAGGGAGTTGGAAATCACCCAATTTGCCTTTTTTGTTTGTCTTGTTTTATTTTTGTTTAAACAATTTGAAGGGTATCAGGAGGTGGCTCTGGAASAGAAATAAAGCAGAAGAGGTGATCAAAGGGAACAGAAATTATTCTGTTGAAAAAGGTGGAAATATTCTCTATGTTAGATGCTATTTTGGGGAATAAGTGTGAGATGAAGCCACCACTGTAGYTGAAATGTGAAAATGTGAAAGGTGTTGGTGCCAGGCTTCACCCAGACCTCGACTGATATCCATGTGGATGAGCAGTGAGACTGATGTCATTGTGTCTGCCCAGACACCACCCAGAACCACACATCAGCATCTTCTGAACTCTGAGACTTCTTTTTACACCCTTGATGGAATATTTTTAGCATGCAAGAATGCATTTAACACCCTTAAACTGCTTTAAACCTTTGATTAAATATTTTAGTATACAAAATATTGGGGCGACCCTCAGCTTGTTAGAGACAGAACACAAAAAGCACGMAAACCTTGAAATATCAGGTTCTTTCCCAAAGCTCTTGTCTGTAGAATCTGGGATATAAACTTTGCCTGATCTGCTTTCMTTGGAACATTTCCCCACTGTCTCATTTCCACTTGAAGTGTGTGTCCTGCATGAAGGGCTTTATGGCAGCACACTGGCAAGGTGATGTTTGTTTTTTTTCTGTCCTTGGTGGACATGGCCTGTGTTCTCTTTCCAGCTGAGCTCTTCAGCTCAGGAGAGCTGAATAACTCTTACAGCCAACTCCATGCAGCAGTGAACATTACAGTTTATTAAAAAATTAATTTAAAACCTTCAATTGTTCAAGGAGCTGCATTTGTGCTCTAGATGGTCATTAAGCTGGTTATAATAAAAAACGACCCCACCCAAATTATTWGACATTTCAAAAGCAAATCTAGTGTCCTGCTGCATAGATACTATCAGTGGGAGAAATGCTTTGTTCTCCYTGTGTAATCTCAGATGAAACTTATTCTTTGTTTTTTGACTATTTTAGCTCCCAAAGGACTTTACAGATTTCCTTGCTTGCAGCTGTAGAAAAAAAAAAAATCAGTACTTCATTGAAAATAATGTCCTAATTTCTGTGCTGAAATACAAAGCTTCTGACACTTACAGGTCTTGTCAGGAAAAAAAGGAAACAGTTAAATAAATGCTGACTTCTGAAGCTAAAATTCAAAATATCGGTTAACAAATCACGGGAGTGTCTTATTTTAAAATCTTTCAGCTCTACCCTAAAGTCTTGTGAACTAAAGAATGAAGAAAATTTTGAACCAAAAGCCTCAAGGAATTCTGGCAGATAAGACAAACTAAACATTCTTGCAACATGTCCTGGGTTTTGAGAGATTGTTATAAAATGACTTAAGCTGAGAATGACTAAAGAAATTAAACATAAAACAAATCTGAACTTAAAAGCAGTGAAAAAAAATCCAATAATGACTTGCATCTTACTGCTTACAGTGATTACAATGTGACTATTAAATTAATTTCAGTTAAGGCTGGAAAACAGATTCTGCAGCGCTGCTCAGATCCATATTTTAAAAATGGCAAAATTTAATCCTGGAAGGGCACAGTCCGTCATTTGGAGCTACTAGGAAAGAATTAATTTTGCTCATGACTGGTTGTGTATCTCAGAAGAGGAATATTGAATTCAGCCCCGGGGTGAGCACAGGGTTGATTCAATGCCTGGGCGAGGAAGGAGCATGGCCATGCTGCTCACAGTGACCTCCACCCCAGACATGCCCAGCTGCTGAGGGCCATTTTGTGAGGATTGGGGTGGGGCTGCCTTGCCTGTGTGCTGTAATCAATGTTTCTGTGCTCTCAGCCCCCACCACGTCCCCCACCAGCTCTGGGTTTCGATGACACAACTCTCCAGCGCCGTCGAGTCCGGGGTTACAGCTGTAGGGCAGAGGGGATCTCAAGGTGTCCAAGCTGTTTGTAGCCAGCCCCACCCTCTGAGAATTGTCCCCAGGAGCAGCAGGGGCACTTACCAGGCCATTGATATCACTGCCACAGGGGGAAGAAGCCACCAGTAGTAATCTCCTCTGTCRGAGTAGACGGCCATGAGCAGCCCCACCAGGATCCCGTTGTAGCCGTGCAGCCCGGCTGCAATGGCTGACCTGCCAAGAGGACAATCGAGGGACAAAGCTGGTGCAGGTGGAAGATTGYTGAGGGTGTTCTTTTGTGGGGACCCACTGAGTTGCAATTTGTAAGGGTCCTGCCCCGGTGAAGGGGGGAAAAGGCTGTGAAATCACTGATTTGCACTGGTGTGTGGAAGGGGAAATTTTGGGGGCTGCTGGAGGATGGAGGGAATCCTTGTGACTCAAAGGACTGGCATGGGTGTGACAATGGCTGTCAGAGAGACAAAACTGCCTATTTTCATGATGATAGACATTCATGGGGACAGACCAGCTCTTCTTGGGCTGCAGCTCTCTGTCTTTACTGTAGTAACACAACCATCAGTTTTTACGACGTGCATGAGGGCACGAGGTGTCACCCACCTGTCCTGGCTGAGGGCCAGCGCAGTTAACGTGGACACGGTGGTTCCAGTACAGCCTGTGAGCATCCACCAGGGGCTCTGGATGAAAAGCCCCACCAGAATGATGAGTCCACTCAGAGGGTTGTTGACAAACATCACCTGAGAGGTCCCTCGCAAGATCCAGTCCAGCAGCTGAACCATCAAGGGCTTGTCTGGAGGAGATTGAAGGAAAACACTGTCAAAAGGCATCGTTTTAGCAAAGCATGCTCATCTCTGCAGCGCCTTTCTGGGCACAGGATAAAGGTGATGTGTTAACAGCTCTGTAAAACCAGTCTCTGATTTATTGTTGTCGCTGAGTATTTTGCATCTGGCACTTGAAAACTGATAGAGATGGACTGGGCACTGCTACGAAATCCATGGAGGGACAGACAAATAAGTGATTKATTTATGGTGGTCAATGAATAGTCAAAGGATCACTTCATAGATCAATTTATGTTCTGCTATAAATTTAGTAAGGAGACATACTCTTTGTTGTATAATTCAAATGCGGAGAGGAACAGTGAAACTAATTTCTACACATATAGGAAAGCATTAAAAGGAAGCAGTTTTGCTGTTTTAGGAAAAAAAACAACAATCCTGAGCATGGAGGTATGCTGTATATGGGAGATGGGGTCAAAGGTATCTAGAGGTATTTTGAGAGGTAAAGAACCTAAATTCGAAAATAGTAATTATGGCTAGGACTGTACTCAGGGCAAAGAGGCATTTCCARAGGACAAAGAATTATTGCTCTTTGGAGGAGGTTATTGGGCCTGGGCAGAGCAAGCAGGCACCAGGCACAGCTACCCCAGCTGGGTGCAGGGGGAGGTGGGATGAGGGCAGTGCAATAACTTTTTGCTGCTGATTCCTCTACTGCAAATTGACTGGAGTTTTTCTTCTGCCTCTCTCCTGGGAAAACTGCARCCGTTTCTGAACTGCAGCGTGTTATTAAAGGATGATGGGAGGACAATAGATAACAAAGAGAAGCTGCTTCTGTGCCCAAGATGTTCATGCAATGCGTATATACAGCTTTTATCTTCCTCAAGATTTGAAATTAATTATGTTAACTTCGTTTTTTAATTAGGTGCAGCATTAAGTGCCAGACTACTTTTTGAATATGGGCAGTGATTTATTCCTAAGAACTTCTTCCAGGCAGAGTTAARGAGGAGAAATGAGGAGGAGGAGGAATGTATTTGTTAGACCTGGCTTGTCTGAATTAATTTTAGCTAATATTTGGTGTTGAGCTATGCAACAGATACCAGCAACACACTTCATTTCAGACTCAAGTACTACCTGTAAAAAGTCAAATATAACCAGAGGACAGTGGCCAAAGCTTTCCAGAGCACTGAGAAAGAAAAACTGTCTACAAAGCATGGATTTCTGGGGCAGAGAGAAAGCAGGAGGAGATATTTCCCTGTGTCTGGGATCACACTGGCCTGGCTCTGAATGCCTGTCTATTGCTGACAGCCCCAGCCTTGACAGAGGACCCAAAGTCCTACACAACCAATCAAACCCTCATTCCCAGTAATTCTGGGTGACTTGGACCAGCTGCTCAKGCACTGTGAGGGCAGGGAACCTTGGAGATCAGTCTTGGCTTCTATTTTATGACACTGTGACACCCACAGTGCTGATTGCTCTGCCAGGCTGGGACCTCAGGAGCCTCTGCCTCTGTCGAGAGGCTCATCCYCATCCTCAGCCCACATGTGGATGAGAGGCAGTGGCTGTTCCAAGGCAGTCACAAACCAGACTCAGCCCCMAGCCCTGAGCTGTGACCCTGAGCTGTGTGTGTGAGATGATTGAGAAAGACATTTTAGGACTGTGCTGAGTTTTGCATGCAGCCATGGTGATGGCCAGAGGATGCAGTGATTTTCCTCCTGAGAGTGAGATAATTAAGAGGTCAGAAGTTTGCAGTGAGCTCGAACCATGCTGATTCAGCTCTGGCTCAGGAGGTGGAACACACTMCACTGGAAATACTGCTGGCAACAGAGGAATCCCCAACCAGAGAGCCCCAAACACATCCCTCTGCTTACTTTTCATCCACTCTCCATATTCTTTCATTTCTCCCGTGAGATAACCGAACCCGTGGTGGATCCAGTTTCCACCTCTCCACAGCAGCTCCTGGGCTCTTGGCATCTCCTTCTTGTACAACTCCCTCTCACTGGGGTGTTCAGTCACCACGATTTCGCCCAGCTCCATCCTCTTCTGGCTGATGGTGAAGGGTACCTGTGGATCACAGAGACAGTGCTTTCTGGAAACATCTTGGTTTGGGCCCTGACAGCCTCCAGAACGCTCTGGTGATATTTTTTATCAAAGATGGGATGTTTATGGAGAAGGGATCTGCCGGACCCACAGCTGGGGGTGGTGTGTGCTGCAGGGGTGTCTCCTCTCAGGTTGGGGACCAGGCTGTGCCCTGCTGCTGTCATGGGGGCTGCAGGGGGTCAGAGGGATGTGGCATGGGAGCCCTGCAGCATCCCACCCTYGCTCCAGCTCCTGATGCAGCCTGTGCAAGCTGCTGGTTGGACAAGGGAYGTGACATCTGCCAAAAAACTGAGCAGTACCTGTGTGCTGGCCATGCTTGGCTGAGTGTAGCTACTGTGGCAGGTGCTGGGAAGGGAGCCTGCTGATGCTTGTCCAACAGTGAGCTGGAGGGAAGCAATGCAAATTGTCAGGACAGTAGCAGTGAGTAGGGGACAAGGAAACGAAAAAGGAGAGGCTGAGGTGTGTGTGCTTTTTGATGTTTTGAGCTGGTGCTGTTGTATACCATCAGAAATCTATGATGCTCCTCMTTCTTCATCTGCCTTTGATGGACCATCAAGAGCAGCCTGGGCTAGCACCAAAGCATTGCAAGGAAATYAGCATTCACCCATGGCCTGTGATAAGCACAAAGATAAACACGTYGGCTCAGGGCTGTGTGCTCTTACTTAGCAGGTGAATATTCTGCAGCAGCAGGGGTTTATTAATCTTCCAAATGCCATTGCGGAGCTTTGCTCATTAAAAAACCTATTATGATCTAAACTCCAAAATGAAAATACACTGTGCTGCAGCCCGGTGAGCTGCGCTGCAGGTCACACCCTCAAAATTGCACCCCTGATGCCTGATGGAGCCTGGCGTCAGCCGTGGGTTTCACTCTGGCSGTTCTGATAAAGCCTGTCTGGGTTTCTTCTAGGCGTTGCCCCGGAGCGGACAGTGCTGAGAAGGGCTTGCCCCCTGTTCTGTGGAATATGGGCACCATCTTCTGGTGGGAGCCTGTTTTTTGGGTAGCTCAGGCTGGCTGTCAGCGCCGGAGCGCGCAGGAGCAGCAGGAAAAGCTGCGGGAAAGGCTGCGGGAAAGGCTGAGGAAAGGCTGAGGAAAGGCTGAGGAAAGGCTGAGGAAAGGCTGCTCTGCCGAGAGGAGCACTGCCAGGCAGGTGGCAAAAATACCTGCGGCTCTGAACGCCCCTCGGGAGGAGGTCCTGGAGCACCAAAAGCCGCGTTTTTTCCCTGTGCCCTGGCAGCGCATTTCCCAGCCCTGCCTTGCGCCCATTCCAGCGCTCTGGCTCTCTCTGCCGGCAGCGCGTCCCCACGGCAGCGACAGCCCCGGGGGTGACATCCAGCACCGGCACCGGCAGGGATGTGGAACTGTGCAAACCAAACCTAAACATCACTCAGTTTGCTTGGGTTTAAGGGAGGAGGATTACAGAAGGTATGAAATGGTCTAAAATAAAATAAATAAATAAATAAATAAATGTGGGTGTGAAAGAGGTAGACACTTGCAAACCTTAGATCAGATAATCAGAGAACGGTTTGGGTTGAAAGGAACCTTAAAGCTCATCCAGTGCCACCCCTGCCATGGGTAGAGACACCTTCCACTGTCCCAGGCTGCTCCCAGCCCCAATGTCCAGCCTGGCCTTGGACACTGCCAGGGATCCAGGGGCAGCCACAGCTGCTCTGGGCACCCTGTGCCAGGGCCTCCCCACCCTCCCAGCCAGCAATTCCTTCCCAATATCCCATCCATCCCTGCCCTCTGGCACTGCCAAGCCATTCCCTGTGTCCTGTCCCTGCAGCCCTTGTCCCCAGTCCCTGTSCAGCTCTCCTGGAGCCCCTTTAGGCCCCAAAAGGGACTCTGAGCTCTCCCTGGAGCCTTCTCTTGTCCAGGTGAGCACCCCCAGCTCTCCCAGCCTGGCTCCAGAGCAGAGGGGCTCCAGCCCTCAACCCTGAATGTTTCCTGGGGTTGTAAACAGGGAGGTTTCAATGTTCTGCAAAGCTGTGCTCAGTGCAGGAGCAAGGAAGGAGAAAAAGAAGAGAGAGGGMGTGGTTTTATTATCCCTCTTTGTTTTCTGATCTGCAATCTGACTCTGAGTCCAAAAGCTGAGTCCAGTCCCTGGTTTCAGGTCGAGGCAGCCTTGGTGACTGTCATTTTTGGTTATTCCTTGTGGCTAGCCAGGAACACTGAGGGAACACTGAGTGCAGTTCCTCTTCCCCTCCCATGTCTCCTGTAGGCTGAGGGAACTTGCAGCAGTTGGATATCGGGAATTTACATCCCTCTGAGGCAGGAAGAGACCAGGTCGTACTGAAAAACCAGATATTCATGCCTGGATACATCCCATGAGCACTGGGATTTTGTAAGATGCATAATTTCCTTGGGTGTAGCTCTGGGTGGAAGTCAGGCCATCTGAGCTCACAACAGAAAATTCGTGCTTTTCCCACAGACAGCCCAACCTGGCTGCTCTAGTGAGGCCCTCAATAATTTTTGGGAGAGACAGAGGGTGTGAAGTCAACAGCACAAGCAGAGAATAGATTCCAGAGCAATGGAAGGCCAGCCCCTGTCTGCCACGGTGTTTGCTTTCCCTGCAGAGGTTAACAATCATATTCAGCAATTATTTGGTAGCAGAGACAACTCTAGAATCATCATCCCTAGAAGTGATCAAAAGCCATGTGGATGTGGCACTTGGGGACATGGGACAATGGTGGCCTTGGCAGTGCTGGGTTATTGTTGGACTTGATCTTGGAGGGCTTTTCCATCCTGAACATTCTATTTCCTTCCTTTCCTGTCTGTTGTTTGGTTTATTTAGTCCTGTTCTCCCTGAAGTCTTTTCAAAAGGGTTTCAAGGGGTGAGGTGGGCTCAGAGAGCTGCACTGGAGCCATGAAAAGGAGACTGGAACATCTCTTATGGTCTTGAAGCTTTAGGGATACATCCATAAAGCAAGGTGAGCAGTCCCTTGGCTGTGAACAGTAACCACCATGAGCTGTRCAGCTGTTACCAGCAGGACAATAAATGCCAAGGGGCTGAGTCTCAGTCATCACACACATGAAAAGCTTAAGCTCATTTTAAAACCCACCAGGAAAAAATTACTTGTGGGTTTTACAGAGCAGAAACATGACTTCAGAGCTCCTAAACCTTGTGCTTACAAGACTGCACAGCTCAATTCCCTCTGAAACGGGGATGGGGACCTGTGTGCTTTTAAAATTCTTGTTCTTGCTCACATCATTTAATTGTCAGGGGTTCAGATGTCGTCACATTAGACCCCTTTGCAGTTCCCCTCTGTAGAGGGAAATTTGGATCTCCAGAGAGTGATTGRCATCTCTTTTCCCTAACATACCTAGCTGAGTTGTGAAAAAGAGAAAAACCAGGGTGTTCTGCATCTCTTTTTCCACTGGCTGCAGAGGCAGCCTGATGGCTGAGTTTTAGAGAGCTGCTCTCAGGCAAGAAAAGTTCCAGCCTAAGGGATTCTGCCAAGGTCAACCTTAAAGTTTTTGGAAGTGGGATCTGTAGTCCCAGGCTAGTGCTTTTAAATCCCTGAGCCATCTGTAACAGGCTTGGAATCCACATCAAGTCAGGCATTGAAGTTCTGGGGCTAGGAAAGAAAAACAACTAGCCCCTTTTTATGATTTCTGTTTGCTTTCTTCTTGTGAACTGGAAGGGAAATAAATTTCATCATAAATGGAGTACATTCACCCTCCTCTGATGGGAAAGCAGCTTGGGGCATGACTGGAGGAGATTGGTGAAGAATGACCAAATTTTAGAGGGAAGAAGTAGTGCAAAAAAAAAAAAAAAACCCAAAAAAACCCCAAAATGATTTGAGGGTGCTGAAAGCCTCTGCACTGCTGCAATGATGAACCCTGGGGTTTTATAYAAGATCAGCCCGAGGGGCTGCAACAGCTGGGTGAGATCCTGGAGGGCTGTGATGGGCACGGTGATCCCTGCAGGATCATTTCACCCTGGAAAAACACAGCCAGCACCTGCCTGTCTATCGATGGGCTGGTGCTCAGCGGCACAGGCTCCATGAATAATAGAGAAATCATTCGAACAATTATCTAATTAGGGCTAATGAGAGCCTGAATCACTTATGGCACACCTAGGGCTGATGAGGAATTCCTTGAGAAAGGGCCTTTTGTCAGCAAACACCGATTCATCAGCGTGGTAATGAGCAGTCCTGCTCGTTAGGAGCATTTACCAGACTGCAGGGTAGTGCCAGGTGGTGAGGACTCACCTCCAGACCTACCTGTGCCTGCTCATCCCCCAGCAGACAGCTGCTCAGCCTGCTCTTGAGGCACTGGGTGCTGAAACGCAGAGATTGTGCTTTTTAAGCCTCCCAGATCAAGCCCTGGGTCTCTCTTTGGCTTGTGCTGCTACAGCAAATGTTCCCAGCATAGCACCATCACACAGCCTGCAGGGATGTGGTGGCCTCATGCAAAGAAAAAAAAAAAACCCAACAATTTTTTTGGTCAGAACAGTGAGATGGTTCATGACCAGCATGACGGGTGATGACTAACGTTTTAGCCAAATTTTCTCCAGGGCTGCTGTTTGTGTTGGGAGCTTGGCCTTGTGCTCAGGCACCTGAAGCCAAGCCTGGATAATTTATCTTTCCCCTTCTGTGCTGAAAGCAGAGTCATCAGAAACGCGTTGACTTCAAGGGACGTGGCCTCACAAGGGCCTTGAAAAGAAACAGTTCGCAAAAAAGCACATTTCTCTCATAAGAAGCCATAAAGGAATGGAGAAGAAATACCGTGTASAGCTAGAGGGAAAAGCTTTGGGATGGTGACAGGACGCTTGGCTGAGTCGTAATGACTTTACCAAGTGAGGCTCTACCGGGGATCAACCTGTGATGCTGAAAGCAAATGAATTAAGCAGGGCATTTCAGAGCAGTCACTGAGTGTGAATGCAGCACAGTTTCTGAGAATAGGCACTAAACAATAGCCACAGACTTTAAAAATAAGAACAAATAGGACATTAAAATAAGAATAAAAGAACATTATTCTTTAGAATTAAAAAAAAAAAAAAAAAAAAAGAAGAAAAAGCCAACCAACCAAAAAAAACAGCCAAAAAGGGAAAAAAAAATTTCAGGTGACTTTGTTTCCTATGACAGGCATTAAATGAAGCCACGTCCCAGAGCACTTCTCTCATATCTGAACAGGCACAACTACCACTCAACAACTGGCAATCAGGATAGTTTAATGGGGCTAAATATGGCTCTTGCATCATTATTTAGGTAATTGGCTTTTACAGTGTGGTCCTGCAGTCTTCCTGTATCCTCCTTTCCCAGCCTCTGCACTATGTAATGCAATACTCCGCTTTGCTCCAAGGCAAAACTTCACTGCTTCTTCTTTCCCTGCTGCTGCAGCAGGATCTCTCACTCTGCCAGCAGAGGCACAGAGTTTATT